GACCTTTAACCTACACAGTTTGCAGACTCCTAAAGGGGATAATTGAAATGCCACAGTAAACCAAAGGCAATAAAATATTATTTACTAGGCATAAAACTAAGGTTGGTCTTCTTAAAGAAACGAACAGCCCCCTTATTCCTTCCCCCTCCCTGGACCCGGTGCTACACCTAATTTATAAATTCCTCACCAGGCGTCCCGAGGAATGAACAGCAGCCCGGGCAGTGAGGATTCCTAATGGAAAGGCTCTTTGGCTATGAGAGAAACCTGCCGGGAGCGATGCTGCGGCCTCGGGCCCCGCCGGGGCGCTCAGGTGTCGCGGAGTGCCGGGCTGATGCCCTGCGCACCGCGGCCCCAGGGGCTCCGCGCCGCTCCCGCTCCGCGCCCGCGCTGCCGCCGCTCGGCCCCTCTCGGCGACCCCCGGGCGGGCTGGGGGGGAGCGGGGCCCGCCAGAGCGACGGAGGGGCTGGCCCGGGGGGCGCAGGGCCCAGGGGGAGCCGTGGCCATCGGGGGCAGCCGGCCCGGGGCCGCCGGAGGCTGCGCTTACCTGGCGGGCAGCGCCCCGGCGGGGCGGACGAGCTCTCGGCTCGGGAGCAGGTGGGCAGCGGCTCGGGCCGGCCGGGATGTGACTTGTCCCCCATCGGCCGCCTGAAGGGGTTTTGTTTGCACTGGAATGGCTTTGAGGGAGTGAATGCATTTATTGATAGCGGAGCTGTTCTCGCAGCCTGGTTGGATTTCCCAGGGCTGCTTTGATAATGTGCCCCCTCCCCCGCATCCCCTCGTGGACCCGCAGTTGCAGACGGATGCAGGGGAAATACTGCGGAGTTACGGCGTGGCTGGGGGAACGCTCCCATTTCCTGTGCTTGGGTGCACACGGGACGGCAGAGGTGCAATAAAAACCCCAGGGCTGCAGAAAAAGCGGGGAGGTGCAAAGGGTCCGCGAAGCCCCTCTCCCCTGTAGCTCTCATTGGGTCTCACTTGATTTAATCCAAACAGTTTTGTCAACAGCTTGCCAAATTTACAGCGCCAAAAAGCCGCGGCAGGAGTAGGAACACGAGCCGTCGAGCTCGCTCGGTCCCCGCTTTGGCAGGCGGCACACGCGGCCGCCTCGGAGCAGGCGACAAGCAGGGCTTGTCACCGAGCCGGGAATGCCGGGCAGGCGCTCGGCGCGGCCATGTGCTCCGCACATTGTGCGCACATGTGTGCGAGGGGGAGCGCCGCGGGGCCGGCCCGGCAGAGCCCGTGTGTGTATGTGGGTGAACACGCGTGTACGCGTGCGTGTGTGGGTGCACACGGGGTTACACGGGTGTACACGTGCCCCCATCCCGGCCCAGCATGAGCAGCCGGCGGTGCTCGAGGGGCCGCGCACCCCCGCACGCACCCCGCCGGCCGGGATGGGCGCACGGGGCACTGCCTTGCAGGAAGAGTTTGCCCTCACGGGGCTTCACCCCGAGCTTGACCAGCGAGAAGGGCTCGGTGATGCGGGCCGGGCCGGGCACACGCGCTGCGGGCTCTCGCCGCCCGCCCGGGGCCGCGCGGGTCCCGCTCGCTGCCGTACAGCTTTAAAATCCAGCCCCGTCTGCAATAGGCCGGCCCTGGGCGCATGCGCTGCCGAGAAAGTTTTCCAGCTGCCGTTGGCTCTCTTAACTTTTTTTTTTTTTTTCCTTCTTTTTTTTTTTTTTCTTTTTTTTTTTTTTCTCTTTCGCAGTTTTAAGCAGCGGGGTGAAGAGGAGCGAGGGAGAGACGCGGGGGGAGCGGGGCCGGCTGCAGCGGGCGGGGGCAGAGCCCCACGGAGGAAGGGTCGGCTGCCGCGACGCCGCCTGCCCCGGCTTGCTCTCCCGGCTCCTCTCCCGCGTATCCCGCTCCCCGGCGCTGGGCGCCTCTGGCACCGATGGATTGGGGGAGCCGCAGCTCCTGAAGCCCGGACTGCTCCCCTCCCCCTGCCCCTGCTCGCCTTGCAGGATCAGTCGCCCCGTAAGACAGGCAAACGCGTGCACAGCCCCCCTCCCCCTTCCCGCTTGTGCAGAAACTTCTTTTTCTGTTTGGGCTTTTTCTTCTCAGTGTAAAATGGAGGGAGCCGGCCCCGGGATGGCTCTGCAGCGGCGGACCCCCGGCTCTGCACCGCCCAGCCTTTAAGCAAGTGAAGGGGAGCGGGCAGGGGGGAGCCCTGCACCCGCTCGGCTCCATCGTCCCCCTCTCGCGGGCCGGTCCGCGCCGAGCTGCGGAGGGGGCGGTCGGCGGCCCGAGCGCCGGCGGAGCCGGGTGGGAGCGCGGGGAGCCCCGCGGCGGCACCACCTGGGCTGGTGGGACGGATCGTCGCCCGCGGCGCTTTCGCTGCCGCTTGTGAAGATTTTTATTTGCTTCCGCACAATCACGCCCACGGGCGCTGTGTGCGTGTGTTGGGTTGGCTTTTTTTTTTTTTGGCTTTTTTTTTTTTTTTACCTCCTTCTTCTTCTGCTGGTGGAAAGCCCTAATTACTGCGATTGCTGATGGACCTTGGAAAGAAGGCTGCACTGGTGCCCCGCTCCGCAGTCGGACACGCTCGGTTTGCGCCGGACAGGGCGGCCGCTCGCCCGCCGCCCCCCGCCAGCTCCGCGGGCCCCCGCGCTCCCCCGGCCGCGGCTCGGGACGATACCGCCCGGCTCCTGCGAGCCAGGATTTTACTTTCGTCTCGCCGTTTCTCCTCCTGCTCCGCTTGGATTACTTGGCTGCTCCCGCTCGGGGATCCCGCGCGATGGAGGTGAGTCCGCACGGGCGCGGGGGCTCCGCGCCGCAGGGGCCGCGGGCGCGCAGGGTGGGCTGCGCTCGGCGAGGTGCGGGGCCCCGGCGCGGGGCGGCCTCTCCTCCCCTCCTCGGCAAGCGCCGGGTGCTCGTATGTCTGCGCTCTCACCCACCGCGGAGAGTTCCGCTCCCCACTTGGGAAAAGCTCTTGTATTTTCTGGTTTTCCTTCTCTTTTTAAATTTCCCCCCGAAGAGAGGCTGCCCGCCGCAGGGACACTTGCTGGGCTCGCTCTGCCCGCCGGGTCCCGGTGCATCTTTCTGGCAGCGGCTCCTAACGCGAGTTTAAAGACATCTTTCCAAACTTCCCAAACTTTCCCGAGGAAGATCGCTATGGAGGAGCCCAACGTCGGCGCTAATGGTGGCCTGTACCTTTAAGTAGAACTGGCTGGGGGCCAGCGGAGGACCCGGAGTCAGCCCCCACCCCCCCCCATTTAATTTTATTCTCAGTTTCTGGAGATTATCACTCTGCATCTGCAGCGGGTCCCGCCTGGGTCAGCGCGGAGGAGCGCGGCTCCTCGGGGTCCCCTTGGCGCTGCGAGGACTCCATGTTGGAAAGGCTGTTGGCTTTTTGTTGTTTGTTTGTTTTTAATTGTCAATTGTATGGTAAATGGGCTGCGCTCGGAGGGTCACGGGGAGTTCAGCGGGGCCGAGGAGCGAGGCTGTCCCCGGGCGCCGAGGGAAGGACACGATGTGCCTTCACCCCCGGGAAAACAGCCCCTCTGCGCCTCCGGTGGGAAGAGCTGGGCCGGGACCCGAGCAGTGCCTTTCCCTGCAAACGTGAGACGTGGTCTGGCTCCTCCAAATGGCTGTGAAGACGCAGCGGGGCGCAGGGGGCGGCCGGGGGGTCCCCGCGGAGCCGCTGCGCCTCCCGCGGTTTACAGCCCCCCGGAGCCGGGCTCTGGATGCTGCCTGCCCGCTGGTAGTGCTCCTAGAAAACCAGATGCCTTCGCAGGCTTTCCAGACACCCCGTGTAAAACAGGATCAGAGGCGATCCCGCGGTGCAGGATCTGTAAAAGCCTCTCTTTTCATCTCGGCAAGGAGCGCGGGCTCCGCATGGGGTGCGTTAAATACCAAAACCCAATCTCCGCGGCCCTACAAAGTTGAACACGCTGCCTCACACTCCTGCTCTCCAGTGCTCCGTGCTGCTGGGCAGTCTGCTTTTTTTTTTTTTCTTTTCTTTTTTGCCTTTTTTTTTTTTTTTATTTTACTGATGGATTTTTTGGTGTTGTTTCTGGTGGTACCTTGTCAGCTGCTGCTGCGTGCAGAGGGGCCGGGCTCGCCGCGGTCCGAGGCGCAGGTGCCTGCTCCGCCCGGCTGCTCGGCGCAGTGCGCGCAGCGAGGCGGCGGCAGCGGCGCTGGGGCGCGGAGGTGCCGTCGGAAGGGCAGCGCCGCCGGGCGCGGCCGCCCCCTGTTGGGAGCGGAACGCCACCGCTCCCCGGGGCTCCGGCCGGGCTCGGGGGGCACCGGGCCCTTGCAGCGGGACAGGGGCCTTTGACCCTGCCGGCCGCGCCTTGCAGCGGGGGCAGCGCTCCGCTCCCGGCGCTGTCCCGGGCCCCCGCTCCCTCCGCGGCCGCCCGGCCTCACTGCTGGGCCGAGCACAGCTGTCCCGCATGGGCACCGGCGTCTCCGACCTCCTCTGGGCTCGGGCCCTTTCGTGGCGCTCCTTTGTTGCTGTCATTACTTGGAGAAGTAGCAAGATGAAAAGAGCCCGGCGTCGGGCGCTGTTGGGTGTCGCGGCTTGCCCCGCGCACACCTCGCTTCGCCTCGTCCCTCGCTCAGCGCGCCCTCGGCGTTCGCACCTTCGCCGGGACTGAGCCCCCGTGGGGCGGGCGGGCTCTTTCTCCTGCAGGAGACCGGCCCCATTTACCCACCCCAGCAGCGGGGATTTGCGGGGCTCATCTCCCGCGGCAGGGGGTGTTTAACCCGCACGGCGCGGGCAGGCTTCGCCCCCGCGCTGCACCCCCCGAGCAGTGTCGGGGAGCGGCGCATGGGGGTCCCCAGGCTGCGGCAGCTCCCCCGCGTGTGCCCGGGCAGGTTCCGTGTCCGGCCCCGCTGCCAGCGCTCCGCTCCTCCCGGCCCTTCGCAAACAGAAATAAATTAGAATTAAGAACACCTTCAATTCAGCGTTAAGGGCCTTTGGAGAATGAATAGGGAATAGGGAGCCCCCAAGTGTCGAAATGTTTTTTTTTTTTTTTTTTTTTTTTTTTTTTCTCCTTCCGAGGGGAGGGGAAATCAACCCCAGGAATGGCTCTAGGGAGAGAGTGAGAGAGTCCCGTGTGAGGACCAGACGGTGATCGCGGGACCTGTCGGGGGAAGCGTTCGACTTCCAAGACGGCATCCCGGTTGTTGCAGGGTCCGGGTCAGGACGCGGAGCTGCTCCTTGTCGCTCCTGGTACCTCCCCGGGCCGGTACCGGTCCCGGGGCTGCCGTCGGTGCAGTCACCGCGGTGCCAGCGCGGAGCTCGGGCTGCCTCGGCGATCGCGGAGGGTGGGAGCCCCGAGGCTGTGCCGAGATGTTTTAGGGGACGACGGAGAAGGGCGAGGACCGGCCGCACCATCCCCGGGCGGGAGCCCTCGGGGCCCCCGCGGCACCGACCCCTCGAGGCACCGGCCCCCCTCCCTGTCGGGCTCGCTTCGCAAACCTGAAGCCGCCTTTAGCCAGCCGTGAGCCTTTCGTGTCCAGCCATGGGGTAATGCCCGGCCCGCGGGTCGCTGTAGCCCCGGGGCAGCGGGGATGGGTCCCGTGTCCGGAGCGGCTGTTGCGCCTGGTCCGTGCCGTGCCGTGCCGTGCCGCGGCGGGCGGGGTGCGGGAGCGGCGGGGCCGGGGCAGAGGGACGGGCGGGCGCCCCGGGAAGGCGGTGTCCGCGGGGGGGTGGGGGCTGGCGGGGTGGGTTCTGCCCGGTGGAGCGGGAGCTGCGACGTGCCTGTGTCTGGCACCAGAGCCTCGGCGGGGAGAAGGGCCGGCGAGTCAGAGTCAAGTTAAAAGGGGCCCGGAGACTTCCGTTGTTTAAACTTGAATGCTCGAAAATGGTCTGAGAAGCAATAAACAATCTGATCCTTTTTCTCCCCCCTCTAGAAATCCAGTGCAGTATTAATCCACGGAGGTGCTGTGGGGACAGTTGGCAGTACAATGGCTTCTCAGTACCTCGTAGTGGCTCTGGCCGTTTTCTCCTCTTTTACCCAGGTTGTAATAGAAGCCAGCTCTTGGTGGTAAGCATCTCGTATCGACTTGGTTTTGAAAGGGGGTGTCAAGATTTGCTTGCTTCAATGTCTCTGTGCTTCTTCTGTACTTTGTTTCTGCGGGAGCGCGGCCGGAGCGAGGCAGCAGGGGAGAAGTGTGCTGGTTGGAATATGTTGTGTAGAAGGAACGGGTCTGTCGAGTAAGGATAAATGTGCAACGTCTCGTCTTGTAAAACACAGTTTTTAGAATGCTGTCTGGTAGATCCTCTATGAATTTTATCATCTTTAAATTGCTATAATTGTTTTTTTCTTTTAAAAGAGACATTTCAACTCCCTTACATTAGATGCTATGCATGTACAAGAGAAAATGCTGATTTGCAAGGAAAAACTTAAAGTTTCAGCTTGAAGTGTTCTGTAACTGAAATGTTTACAAATATATTTCGTTACAAAGGAGTATGTTTAAATTCCTGCTTTGGCAAATTATCTGTATGGTGTGCAATGTTGAGAGTTCTTGAAATAGGTGTTTCTCTGCTTTTTCCAGTGATGCCTTTTGGATTAATAGCTACTTTTTAATTGAAATGTATCATGTGAAGAGCACTTCAAGAATTAAGAAAACAAAGTTGATTTTGTTTACAATTAATATACTTGCCTGTATGTTTCAGTGTTGTCATTTGGAAGAAGCTAGACATAGTCTGTAGCAAGTTTCTAATTTCTGGCTTGCTAAAGGTTTCCCTATTTGTTTATAATAGATCAGATTGAAAAACCCAGACTTCAGTATAAAATATGTGTTAAGATAAATGGGGATTTGGAGAGCTTTTTTCATTTTTGCTTTATTTATTTTCCTGGCCTTGCAATTGTTTGGAGCTTCTGGTTTTTTTACTGTGTCAATTTAAGCTGGTAAAAGACTGCCTAGATGCAAGTCTTCCAAGTCTGTGTCGTACTGCAGTCTTTAATGTATGGTGATAACCACATGGATGGAAACTAGTAACTTCTGTCCTGTTCTTAAAACAAAAGTTTCTTATTTAAGTGTGGGGTTTTTCCTCACTTGTTAACAAAACCAGGAGTTGTATACTCACGTATAAGATACAGTTCTGTCTGGGATTTACAGATTCTTTTTTTAATTGCTTTATTTTATTTTGAAGTCTTCTGTTTATTAATGCAAATCTTTCTTTGTGCAGGTCTTTAGGGATGAACCCCATGAACCCCATGAACCCTGTTCAGATGTCAGAGGTGTATATTATAGGAGCCCAGCCACTGTGTAGCCAGCTAGCAGGGCTTTCCCAAGGACAGAAGAAACTCTGCCAGTTGTATCAGGACCATATGCAGTTCATTGGAGAGGGTGCAAAGACGGGCATTAAGGAGTGCCAGTATCAATTCAGACATAGAAGATGGAATTGCAGCACTGTGGACAACAACTCTGTTTTTGGCAGAGTCATGCAGATAGGTAGGAAGCAACATCTTTATGATTAAACTCTTGTCTAAGGATATGTATGGCACACACTGTTCTGCACTTGAATCTCTTGCCAGGTTCTTACTGAGTACTGTATACAATCAAGTGTTTCTAAAAGTTGGCAAAGGAGCTGGATTATTTTTAGCTGGAGGTGATTTCCCACCACTGTCCAGCCATATGTCTTGGAAAACAAAGCAGGAATATATATTTGCATATGGGAATAGGGGAGAAAGGAAAATGAGGCCCTGAAATCTCTTTTTTAGAAAACCTGAGACAAAATAAAGGCAACCTACAAGAATTAAAGCCAGCAGCGTCTTATAAAATTAAAGATGTCCATGTCTAGTTCCAAAGTTAGCAGCTGGATAATAATCGCTCTTGGTCCAGAGATTAACTGAAAATTGCTGCTCTGTCGATTAGTGTTTATAGGCAATTCCTCCTTGCTTATTTCCACATACAGTATTTTTTCTCTCTTTTTAGAGAAAACAGATTTATTTTTAAATTGCTGTAGCAGGGTAATTTTCATGAGATCAGTTCTATCATGGTAAAATGTGTGATTGTCCTTGTAACTGACATTTGATGGAATCACGTTGCTGGTGAGAGACAGATTCTTGTTTAACATCTTATCACAGTTTGGTAGATACCTGACCATTCCCCTATCAGATCCTCTTTGAAATGGCCTTCTCCAGTGCTCATGTGCTGCCTGCCTTTCTTGGCACTTAAGGACCTCATAGTATTTTAAAGTCCTTGGCAAAATTTTAACCAATGCTGTTCAACGGGGTCCATGTGAAACCTTCCTCTGACTTTTTCAAGGCAGATTGCTGATTTTGTGTAATCAACTGAAAAATGCCTACTTTTCTGGGTGACACTTGTGATTTTTTAAGTAGTGAGCAGTACACTGGCAAACACAACACTGCTTTTTAGTTGGGGTTGTAAAGCAAAGCTTTTATGGCAGTGTTTTTCTGTCCTGCTTTAGTAAAAGAAAAAGTTTTAAAATCGGTCTCAGTCTGGGTTTTTCTGTAAATGGGCTGACTCCAGTTAAAGTTGAAGGAATGCACCAATTCACATTTGGTCTCAGTTTTTGTTAAAAGAAGTTTTTATTTGGAGATTGTCAGACAAATAGAAAAAAATCTATTGCATGAAAGTACTGAATTGGAACATTTGATTTTAGATAAACAACCTTCCCTAGGCTTTTTAAAGCACATTATTAACCCTCTATAGTGTTTGGTTTTTTTCTTTGCCTTACCCAAGCAAAAGTGTAAAAACATGAAAGCAAACTTCTTCTGTACAACTCTCTGTTCCAGTAATCTAAAAATGTCAGAAAATTAATCTGTTTAAAACTGAAGCCTTCATCCTTCAGCCCTTATTTATTATCCAAGCAAGTGAAAATTAGCTCAGGGGGACTGTTGGTGTGAAGGAGTGTACAGGATGGGGCCCGTGATTTGTGGTGTCTGTCTCTGGAATCAATATTTCTGCCCTCCCCAAGTATGACAGATCTCTTTAAAGGTGGCTCCTTTCAAGTGAAATAACTTTGCCGCACCCTTTTGCTGGATATGACTGTATTAGCTGATGTCTACACAGCAATTCATCATGTAATTAAGCCACTTACTCTAATTGCAGATGGAAGCAAGGTTAATAGCCATATTCAGGAGTTAGAGCATGAAGAGTGTATTCAGTGAGAGCAAGGAAGGAGGAGGTGTAGGAGTTGTAGTATTTCATGCTGACCCTCAACACCAGTTGCTGTTCCTCTGTGTGGAGGTAAAGGTGGGCACTTTCAGAGCCTGATTCCATTGACTTCAGCCTGCCATGCCCTGTGTGCTGGGCTGTCAGGTAGCCCTTGCTCCCAGCAGTGCAGGGTGCAGGCTCTGAGTGCACATTGTTTGGGAGATTTTGCCACGTGCCCTTGGTTGCGCCCCAGAGAGTTCCCGGGCACGGCGCTGCCTGCCGGCACAGCCACGGCCCCGTGTGTCAATGGACAGTCTTTCTTCCAGGATTTACCCTGCAGTTAGCTAAAGCTGTACAAATAAACCTGCCCTTGGGTTTGGAAACTTGCTCTGTGGCTTATTGAACTGTAAAATTTTAGGGCCTGTGTTCTGCCCTGCTCTCCTTGGGTGCTGGTTCCCAGGTCAGGCCACGGTGCTCGCTGCCGTCTCCTGGCTCTGTGGCCAGCCCTGGGCAGGCTGCACATGGGCTTTGCACACATAGCTGAGTGCTAACAGGAGACAAAATCACTGGATCCTCCCCCTACAGCTCCATGTGGTTGGGGTCCAGCTTATTCTGCCTTCAGCCTGATGTTGAATGCTTTTAAAATGCAAGACAAAGAACATTTTGTATCTTATGTTCAGGTATAAAAAAAAAAAAAGGTCCTGTTCTTGCAGACTTATTCAGATCGAGTGTAAAGCTCAGCGCCTTGCTCTGTGGGTGGCTTCCTACAGTGTGTGTATATTGAACAGTTCCATTTCTATGTTTTATATATATGGGAGAGAGGGGACTCGAACGTGTTTGGAATGTGTGTTTGCTTGCCATGGCTACAATAGAGAGAAATCCTGGACTGTGGGAAAAGACAGATATGTTTGACAGTGAAGGAAAGCACAGTTGTGCCTAAAGACTGAAAAAAGAAGGAAAAAAAAGAAAACTCAGAGTAACTCATCTGTGTGGAGCCATCACTCTTAATGTGTTCCTGGGGTCGATGACTTGAGGCAGTGTTGGCTTGAAGTGTACTTCAGCAGCTGATGCTATTTTATAATTTGCCTAAATGCTCAAGGAGGGAACTTGCAGGGCAACTCTCCTTCCTGTGCCCAAGCCTTTCCTTCTCCTTCCCACTGAGAGTAAGTTCTTTAAAATTTGTTCCAGGTTAATAATGAAAACTAGTCAAAAATAGTCAGCTTTATGAGTTTAAATCCCGCAATAAGTGGCAGAGTTAACCACGTGAAAGCATGAGTTAACTAAACATGCAAAAGAACAAAAATGGAATGGAAGAGGCGAGTCCTGTGGTCCGAAGCAGACCACGTTTCTTTCCTCTCAATATAGTGGAAATTTTGCTTAAGGAATTAATCCAAAAATGTGTGTTACAGAGCAAACGGGAACATTAAAATCCATATGAGGTTCCCCCTGCTATAGTTTGCAGTAGATGCAAGGCTTAAGTCACCACATAAAGCCAATATTTTTTTTAACTGAAAATGCTACTCCTGTAACCCTTTATACCCACAATTCATGTAGATACTTCCAAGAGCAGGTGTCTGTGAGTATAGACTATTGTAAGGTGGCAAAGTGCTTCTGATCTTCCTTAAGTCTCTTCTTTCCTAACATAAGATTTCTGATTTTTCCCATTTAAACCCAGCATCTATTACTAAAATTAATCCAGTGGATGACAGCTGTTGTATTAACAAAGCTGCTCTGATCTTGGTGTCATCTTGATGTTAAATATGAACCAGACTTCAAATTATTTATGTTTCAGAAGTGCTTGAAAGCTCCTATTAGATTTGACCTGTCATGATACATCTTGTACAAAGAGATTTTGCCTAAAATGTTGCTGTCTGAATGTATCTGACTTGCCCAAAACAGTCTCTTAACTTCTAATCTAGGAAAAAATCCTAGTTTTTCAAAGGCCAATGATGTTCCCTAAGTAAAATCACGTAAAACCAAGACTAAAAGCTAGCTAGATCTATTGATTAGACTAAAGATTAGGAATAAAACTTAAATCATATAAACAGAAAAAAAATATTTAGTCTATTCTTAGTCATTCCAAGAATCTTTCTTGGAAACGACCCATTGGGATACTGTCTCTTAAGGAGAAAAACAAACTTCAAGTGTTGCTCTCTGGTGCAAGTTTTGTGTGTGTTTATCTGCAAGCTTTGCTAGTTGTACTCAGAACTTGCAGCACCCTTGGAAAAGTGATTGGAAGTCAGAAACTTAAATGAGGTGGGATCTGATACTGTCAATAGGATGGTATGTGGCTATGTCTTACATTATGGGTATTGTAACTTTTTCTTAACGAAAGCTGGAAACTTGAGGTTTTCCATTTCCATTTAAGGGCACCAGATGCAGGAGAAAACCTTCAAGGCCACCTCGTGCCAAGGGTTTTTTCTTCCCTGTAATTTGTAAAAATGATTGTCCATGGGCTTCCTTGCCATATTCACAAGAGCTGAAGTGGTGGATAATAACCAGCACAGGTTGTTGTTAGTTTTAAATAGTCTCCTCCAGAAGTGTCTGGCTAATGTGTAGGGTGAAAAGTTGTGTGTTATTCTGCTGCGTGTTTCTTTTGATACTAGGAGACTTCATAAATTGCTTGAACTTTAAATAAATGGAATAGGTGGGTGAAGTGCATCAATCACGTTTGAGAAGTAGTAATTTAAGAACCAGACTTTTAAAAGTTGTATTTAACATCTCTTTCTTCTGAAGGACAGAGAGCCTGTTACCCTTCCCTCTCCTCACATGCAGGCATGGCTGCTTTGGCCCCGCTGGCCTCATGGCTCTTACCCACCTCCACTCTGCACTTCCATCCGGGCGTTCACCAGCATGAAAGAGAAGTGATTTCTGCTCTTGACAAACCATGTGTGCTCACATGGCTTGGGTTGGCTTGGTTCTTAGAGAGTGAGGATGTTTTGGGCAGCATGGTTCAGGGTTACTCTCCCTTTTACCATGTGAGTGAACTTGGTGGCTCTGGAGAGCCTTTGGCTGGGAGTGGTGGCTGTCCCCTAACCCTGCTTGTGTCTCCGTGCAGGCAGCCGGGAGACGGCGTTCACCTACGCGGTGAGCGCGGCCGGCGTGGTCAATGCCATGAGCCGCGCCTGCCGGGAGGGCGAGCTGTCCTCCTGCGGCTGCAGCCGCGCCGCGCGGCCCAAGGACCTGCCCCGGGACTGGCTGTGGGGCGGCTGCGGGGACAACATCGAGTACGGATATCGCTTCGCCAAGGAGTTCGTGGACGCGCGTGAGCGCGAGCGAGTTTACCAGCGAGGCTCCTACGAGAGCGCCCGCATCATGATGAACCTGCACAACAACGAGGCCGGCAGAAGAGTGAGTGTCTGCAACACAGCGTGTTCCTCCACGCTCCTCCTCATCCCTTCTTTTTGGGGAAAAAAGTGGTTCAGCAGGGCGTAGAGCAGCCACTGTGGCTTGTCTTTGTTTTGACGCACAAAACGAGAAAACGGCAAATACGGGGTGTGGGTGGGTGGGGAGCACAAGAGTTGGTGTTGCTTTTGGTTGTCTGACAGTCCGGTTGCTTTCCTCATGGGGGAGGCTGGGACCAAAGCGTCTTGTGTTTCCCTCTGTATTGTTTCATGAAAAGTGCCCTGCTCGCTGTGGATTCTCTGTAGAACAGAATTTTATTAGTTGGTATTTCCAACCAGGACAGTGTGGGTTGGAAGGAAGAGGGGTGTGCTGGGCTTCCCAGGCTGGAATTGTGCCATAAGATTGTTCTGAGTTCTTTTTCTTTTCCTAGCTTAAGAGTATGTGAAAAACTTCTCTATGCTATTGGAAAACATGGGCTTCTGTGGTTGAACATGTCTTCATGGTTTCTTTAATCTCAAAAATGAATGGGTGTAAACTTTTTTTAATAGTCTGAATATGAAGAGCCAAAATCATTATTTTCCTAGAGCTTGAAGTGCCAACAATAGTCAGCTGAGACTTTGCACTTGTGTTCTAAGCTGAAGAAGGATGAAAGATAATTGAAAATTAATAGTATTTAAATGTAAGAGGAGGCTGTCTGAGAGCAATGGACAGGCCAATTACTATTAGCAAGAAGAAAAATGACACTTTCACAGTTGCTTACGGAGACTTGAGGAGTTTTTTCCTTCCTCAGCCTCATCTGTGCAGTGCCATTTGGCAGTGTTAAGACTCTGTAACTGCTGGGTGGAAGCTGTCTACAGTATCATCTAATGTGTCAGACCCCAGGATTTTTGGGGCAGTGTCAACACTGACTCTTATTTTATTTGTACAGGGCAAATGACTGAGGTTTCCCTGCCAAAGCTTTGTAAAGAGGATATTGCTATGTAGCTCTGACTCCCACCCATAGGTGTTTGGGGGTTTCTTCTTGGATGAAGTCTCTCTTCCAGAGCACTGTTTGGGATAGGAGGAGGATGCCGAGCCAAGAGTAGACAATCAACTGCAGCTGAGCCAGGAGCAAGAGGAATCTTAACTCTTTCCCTAATTGCAGCCTCAAGCAGAGATCAATAGGGAGAGTTACTCAGATAGAAAATAGGGAGATGTTTTACATTTCTCAATGAAACAGCAAAATCCTTTGCTGGCGTGAGAGCGAATTCCTAAAATTTGAGTGCAGCCTGAGTGATGCTGCTGTCTGGGCCGTGTGTGCTGTTGTGGCTGTCTCTGTTGTGGGGAGAGGCTGGTGAGACTCTCCTCCTCCTCCTCCTGGGGTGCACGGGTTGTCAGCACCCCAAAGAGTTCTTTGGGGTGCTGGGGGTGCATGGGTTGTCAGCTGACTCATCCTTCCCACTGAATAGGAGGAGGGGAGAGGATGCTAAGGTGAATACTGTGGAGGGGCCAGTGGGAATATGACAGAGGGCAGTAGATGAGGGGTATAAATGCTCTCACAGCCGTGCTAGTCTTTGATCATGGTTCTTTCTCCTCTCCCCTGCAGACGGTGTACAACCTGGCTGACGTGGCCTGTAAGTGCCACGGCGTCTCCGGCTCCTGCAGCCTGAAGACCTGCTGGCTGCAGCTCGCCGATTTCCGCAAGGTGGGCGACGCCCTGAAGGAGAAATACGACAGCGCCGCCGCCATGAAGCTCAACAGCCGGGGCAAGCTGGTGCAGGTGAACAGCCGCTTCAACGCCCCCACCATCCACGACCTGGTGTACATCGACCCCAGCCCCGACTACTGCGTGCGCAACGAGAGCACCGGCTCCCTGGGCACCCAGGGCCGCCTGTGCAATAAGACCTCGGAGGGCATGGACGGCTGTGAACTCATGTGCTGCGGCCGGGGCTACGACCAGTTCAAGACGGTGCAGCGAGAGCGCTGCCACTGCAAGTTCCACTGGTGCTGCTACGTGAAATGCAAGTTGTGCACAGAGATCGTGGACCAGTTTGTGTGCAAATAGGGCACGGACGAGGTGGGAGGAGCTGCAGCCGCCTGCCAGCAAGGGGTGCAGGCCCCTCTCCCTTTCTGCAGGACTATCTCCACTTTATTTATAGAGTCCAGAAAAAAAAAGAAAGAAAAAAGAAAAATATAAAGGTTGCAAAGAGAAGTGCCTGGAAACCCTCTCTGCGTCCATCCCAGAACTGTGTGAGGCTTATATTTTTGGCAATAATGGGGGAGAATCTGAGAATATTTATTTTACAAAGTTAAAAAAAATTGACTTTTCTTACAAACAATAGAGTAGTTTGAGGGGAAAAGCCGACATATCCTAATTTAGATCCATGGAACGTAATACATGTGCAGTAGACAGAGCAACCACGTAATGTGCTTGGGATGTTAGAACCATCCTTATGGATGTGAGGAACACACAGACCTGTCCATGACTTTTAGGTTCAGACACTAGAAGTTCCTAGAATAGGGTGTATAAAGCTGTTCAGTGCGTGTAGGGCTCTGTAAATAAGGGGTATGTTCATCACAAGGTGCGGTGTCGGTTGCCCGCCAAGGGTCACCGGAGGGCAAAGAGCAAAGGATCAGAAAGGCTTCAACTGCGCTATCCCTGAGTCACCAGGGCTGGTTCCAGAACCGAGAAAGACAGGAAAAAATAAACCCAGGAAAAAAATCTGCCTTGGTGAATAATAAAGATGTTCCTCAAGGCAGAGCTTGGCCTCATCAGCTAATTGTGCCGTTCGAGTGTCTCATGTGCCGGAGCAGCGCTTCCCTGCTGCCGGGCGCGGAGCAGCCCGGGGCAGGCTGCCCGGAGCACTGGAGCTGGGCAATGCTTACTAACAGCTTTGCTTTCCCAGCTTGGGAAGCCCATGGAAAGGAGAGTTCCCCAAATTTGAAAATGCCTTAAAATGGTGTAATAGCTGGCTGTCTTTCAAAACACAGCTTGACAAATAACTCCTCTAATTTTATGTGAGAAAATAAATCATTAGATATCCGCTCTTGGAATGACTGATTTTTATTTTTTCGCAGATTTTGGGAATGCTTTCACTCAAGGAGACAGTAGTTTCATATTTTAATAACATTAACTGACTATTATAGTTCAATGAAACGTTGCAGCAATACCAAATTTATCATCCTATGTCTTTAATACACATGCTTTAGATAATATACTGCAGATATACACTACAACTGTTGAGACTATACTCGAGCAGTTACATATATATGGGAGAACTGTGGTCTCTGGTGTCTGATACTTCAAAGCTTTTTGTACATATATATTTTAATGATTTAGAAAAAAATAAAACATCTAAATTAAAGGGGCAGTTCATCCCTTATTTTCTTTTTCAGATGTCTTCAGGTGTTTAGATTGGTTCTAAGCTTTTGGTGGGTTTTTATTTTTGATTATTATTTTTTTAAAAACTTTTAATGTTCAGAACTTTTAAGGATAATCACAAAGAAGTAAGCCTCTTCCCAATTTCAGGACTTCCTTGGGTGGTTGGTAGAGGCAGCACCCTGCACTTGAATTGATACCAGTCTGGAGATCACTTCTATTCCACTCTCACATTAAGGGCATTATTGATTATTGCTGAAAGAGACACCTTCCAACTCCAAAATGTGCTGCATTTGGCCCTTGCTTTTCAGTTTTTGAACAGAGAATTGTTATTTGTCAAACAATATGTGTTCCCTCTGTGCTGTGTAGTTACACAGGATTTCATCTTTGGTTCAGATGCCACTTTCCAACTCAGTCCCATCCTACAAGTTAAAGAAAATGGTTTTGCAGATACTAAGTGAGGAAAACCTTTCACTTTAGCCTAGTTGTACTAAAGCCTTGACTTTTCACAAGCCTTTAAGCTGTATCATTAAATTCATCTTGATCATTTATCAGCTTCTTAATGGCGCTTTATTGCTCTTAATTTATTGTACAAGGACATATTTACCCCTCATCTTCAGATGTTTGCAAAGAATATCTTTAAAGTAAGAGAAATAAATAAAGCACTAATTCATTGAATATGTCACTTTGGTTTTTATTGTACAAAAACCATGATCTTTTTTTTTCATTTGCTGAATCACCTCATGTTCCTTTTTAGTGACTTCTGTCTGAGCAGAATTGAATCTCATGATCCTAGCTATTAAACCCTATTTAATGTAAAATATTTTACCTGTCATTCAGATATGTAAATCTTCTATGTCCTTTCCTCTGTTCTGTACATTTAATGTACATATTTCTGTCTTGTGTGATTTGTATATTTCACTGGTTAAAAAAAAAAGAAAGGATTATGCCATAATTGAAGATAGACTATAAAAATAAAACTTTGGTTGTATATTGGGAAGTGGTTTTAATTATCTTTCAGAGGAGGGTTTGTTAAGACAATGAGCAGAGTTGATTTTAAAATTTATTACATGGTAAAACAGGGAAGTGTTTGTTGGCCAAACATACAAAGTACATTTTGAAGTTTTATTTCAATATTAAGATAACTTACAGATAGAAGGGGAAGACTTCTTAAGTAGAAGGGGAAAAACCCAAAACCAAAAAACACACCAAAAATCCACTCAGAAACTGTGACTGAGCTAGGCAGCATTTTAGAGATGGCCAACTACTAAATTGCCAGTGGACAGGGACCTGGTTTGTTACTTGTGTGCTTACAGCTTCCAGGGCTGCTTTCAGGGGTTTTGGGGCAGCTGCCTTTAGTAATGGCAGTGAGGGCAGCAGGATCCTGGGTGAGCAAAGATTTTGGAGAGGAAAAACCCTTGGCACAGGTTTGTGTGCTCTGGGTGTGGGGGTGGTTCCCCACATCGCTCTGACCGCCCTGGGTGGAGCTGCAAGGTGTGAGCTCACCAGAAACTGAGTACCAATGAAGGGAAGAATCCTTAAAAAACCCCAGGAAGGCAAAGTGCAATGAAGCATGAATGAAGTATTCGTATTAAGGAGGTAAAGCAGAAAACAAAAACTAATGTGAACCCCAAGCTTTCTGTTTTGCTACTGGCTTGTCTTTGAACTGATTTCTTACATCATGACTGTTTTTTTTTGCTATAGGTAACTTGATGAATTAGGTTCCTTTCTTTACCTCTCTTCTCCTCCTCCTTTTTTCTTTTTTTTTCTTTTTTTTTTTTTTTTTTTTCAAGGATAACCTTCTAACATATCGAAACTCTTTCTGGCTGCCAAGAATGTATTATCCCACAAACCAGTAGACCAACATCATGTGTTTAAAATAGCGATTCTGGGCAAATGCAACATTCTGTGGTCCTATTACTGACATCTGGTTCAGTTTTCCTCCACTTGTATATTGACCAGTATTCTTTATTGCAAAAACACAGCCCCTATTTAGGAAAGTCAGCATTTTTTTTTTTTTACTGGATTGTATTCAAGCTCTTCCCAATAAGAGAAAAGTTACCAAAAAACTTCTTTATTGCCAGCAGTAAATAATCTGTATTCAAAATAGTCATTATGGGCTCAGATACAAGAGAGTTGCTTTTAATTTTGCACCAAAGTTTATCTGTTAAATTTTGTTAGAAATGCTGTTTCAGAATTTTGGGTTTTTAGTAATAACGTCAAATCTTTGTGTTTGGTTATGTCTTTGCAACACTGAGATCCACTTTGTTTTTGCAAAATACCAAATCCCTCAGGTGTTACCAGGAAGTGTTACCATGAGATCCCTCAGTATTACCAGGTGTCTCTTATCTTGCACCAGAGATAAGGGACCTGAAGAAGAGAATGGCAGCTTCAAGTCAGGCACTGCATGCAGTGATGCAAGCTAAAATCCTTCCTTTCTGAAGGATTGGTTTGATAGAATGATCTTAGAAAGATGATGCAAAACTTGTAGGAATTGGTACGGAAGCTGACAGAAAGACTGCTTTCCTTTGGATAAGAAGTTTTGAGGAATAATATCTAAACCATGAGGATGTTCATTGTAAAAGCGTGGTTTTGGTGAATCAGGAAAAATGTCTAGATTTTTCTTGTGGACTATATGCTAGAGGAAACCAAGAACAATGAGGAAAAATGAAGCTCTCAAAAATATAGGTAAGTGTATTAATGTAAAGTTTATGTAGGTACTTGCTGACTGTGGTAGTCTTAAAACTGTTTATCTATTATTGAAGTCAGTTTGGAAGGCAGGCCAGATCTGTTCTTTTGCTTTTTAAATTGTGTTTAGAATCCTCAATGGGGAAAAAAAAAAAAAAAGAAGAAGAGAAAAATCTTTCTTCTTTACTCCAGACTCTGGTATGTCTGTTTATGTTGCAGTGGGATAAAGGATCCATGTAGGAGCGCAGTGAGAGGTTTGTACATGAAATGTTGTTTTCTTTAAAGGTGTGATTAAAAAATCCAATCTGTCTCATGCTCTGCTCTTATGTGAGATTGCATGTGTGCATTTGTATATACTCTGCTGGTATTTTCCAATTGTGTTGGCCAAATTCTGCTTTTAGTTATGGTTAGGCATCTCTCCTGACTCTGGTGGTGTCATATGAGCCTGACATTTTTCGACCAGACGTGAAGGCCCCCCTGCTCAAAGAGAATGCATATGAAATATATCAGCCTTTCTTCTGCTGGCTGGTTGTTTAAACATGGGTAACTGAATTATTGTGAAACAAATTCTGGGACTGCAGCTGCAAAAGCAGTAATACGGTATATTCGTAGTGATGTTTCTACGCCATACCTCCTAATTTCCCAGCTGATTTCCAGTGCAGACAGAAAGTCTAGAATGCATGTGGTATGTTCCTCATCATATATTTTATAAATGTAAAATAATGATTTGTCAATTACAGTTTCTATTATAGAGATAAAATGAGATATTTCGGGCTCTCCTGCTTTGTTGACAGCCCCTTACCTTTGGCTGTGTGGAGCACTGCTGGCTGGAGCAGCACGAGCTGAAGCTGCTTTGGGAACGGCTCTGGGGGCCAGGCTGTGCACTGTGGATATTGGTGCACTGATTGCTTTTGTAGCCAGTGTTGGTTTACCTTGTGTTGTCTTTCCCAGCAGTCCTGCTTTCTCAAATGGTAATTGAACAGCAGCAGTCAAAATACTCTGCTGACGGAGAACCTCTGGCCACTCCATGGGCAGTTATTCAAACACTTTCTGAACCAGTTTGACCCATTGCTGATTTATTCCAGATCCATTGGAGGA